TGTCATCGAGTCAAATTAACCTATAGGAAACTTACGGCAGAATATACAAACGAATGTTAACCCTTAAATGCATGATTTTTTTTTAATACAACAATTAGTGAAAAAAGATGATTTTTCGAAATAGTTTTTCAACCTAAACGGCTGAATGGATTTCGATGAAATTTGGCAGAAATGTAGAGGATAGTCTGGAAGAACACAGGCTACGCACTTTTGTATTTTTAAATTCCACGCGGACGAAGTCGCGGGCGAAAGCTAGTAAACAATATTAAGTAATATTACCTTAGGATTCAAATGGGCTTCTTTAACGTGTGCTTCACACAGCTTCTGTTTCCTAAACGACTTATCACATTTGGGACAGTTGTACAAATCGAGTTTCGCTAAAGTTTCATATAATTCCGACTTGCTATTATCTTGAGGTATTTCTTTTTCTCCTGCCATCGTATACTGGACCTTATTGTGACAGGACAGAGTCTTGTCACTGGTCGTATATAGAATGTGTTTGTCTATGGGTTGGTATATAGATTTAGGTACGGTATTCTCTAGAGATAATTCTACTAAGGAGTCGGGGAGAGTTTGTACATTATCTACTATGCAGGTGTTGGTCATCTGGAAAAATACAAGTATTGTTTAAATTTGTTTATAGTTACATTAGAAATTATATAGAAATACATTAAAATTACATTAGAAAGGTTAGAGTTTTTTTTCGAAAGAAAGTGAATTTAAGGCACTTCTTTAAGGAATGTATTTTTTTCGAACAATGAATAATTAAAAAAGTCTTCTGCAATACTTACAGATTAGTAATAAACCATGTTTTTATTATGTGACCAAACTATTTAAACACTAATAAAGACATCATAATGTCACCGGAATTCGCCAAAATAGCGAAACGACTGCTGGTCACAGAAAATCCCATTCCCTGTCAAATCTACTTTCTCCCCCTTCCTTACATGAAGGAATTTTACCTTGAATATGTAAATAGGTATGTTTAGAGCTACCTTGTCGATGGCGAGGTCCGGCACAGGGTTCTCTATGATGATGGTGCTGTGGTCGTGCGCGTGGTGCTGGTGCTGGTGGTGCTGGTGCTGGTGCTGCGGCTCGTAGTGCTGTCGCAGGTGGTGGTAGAACTTGAGCTGGTCCTCGCCGTAGAACTCCCCGCACAGCTGACACAGCAGCACGGGCCGCACCTAGTGTTTATATAGAAAAGTTTAAAAAAATTCAGCCGTAGAAGTCGTACTACTTCCATTTTATATTCTACTAGCTGTTGCTCGCGACTTCGCACGCTTGATATTAATATATAGCTATGTCACGCAATTATAATATGATTGCACTAATGCAAGGTAGCTTTTTAATGATGAAAGAATTTTTGAAATTTCCCCAGTAATTTTTAAGCTATTTCAATACATAAATTAATATTAATGTTACCTTTTTATAACATAAGTATAGACATTTATAGTGAATTTCATTCAAGTCCATTCAGACGTTATATTATACAAGGTAACAAACATCCATCCAAGTAAGAAGTAAAATTTCAAACAGGGTTTTTTAGGTTTTTTGACTTATATAACTTGCTTCTATGCGCAGTAATCAACATCAGTGCAATATCCATCCATTATTTTGTAAGATGGAATCTTCTAGCAGTAGTTTATGATGTGTTTGTGTTTATCAGTGGTGTAGAGCGCAAGTGCAGTCCGTACCTGCGCGAGGTGCGGCGCGGCGCTCACGAAGCTGTCGGGCAGGATCTCCTGCGCCGGCTGCGAGTTGCAGTGGATCACCACTATCTGATCCTGCTATAGTTAAAATGTATATAACTAAAGGGAAATCGATGAACTTTAAAACAATTTAAATGAAATGGATGAAAGTTTAAAATATACTACGTTATACTAATCTAAAAACTTTCTAAATCAAATGTAAAAATTCCATCATATTCCTCTTTCTCCTTATGTCGTCATCTCAGTCACTCCCTTTTTGATCATGTCACCTTTACCACAATCCTTCCATCTCTTTCTATGTGTACCTCTACCGATGTACCTCAGTCATAACTAACATTCTCCTTGTTACATGCGATTCATCCCTCTTCATAACATGCCCATATAAAAATTTGTTATACATATTTGATGTGGTATTTGTCCGATAGCCGGATACTTTTGTAAAACAGTTCAGATTAATTTTGATTTTAATTTTAATTTTTTTTGATTATAATTTCGATCAGAAGAAATTCGATAATTCGACATTGACAGACGTTCGTGAGATTACTGGACTACTGTGATTGTCTTACGTACATGTCTTACATAAAAAAAGAGTGTGAAATATGTTTTAAGCTGTGCATACAAGACAAAATTAAGTAAGAAAAAATGTAAGTTACAAATAGGAGAAACATTCTCGGAAGTACATAATAAGCTAGCTCTCACCCGCGACATTGTCAGTGTGGAATAAAAAAAAGTAATGCTACATCTATACAAAATTTTACCAAAATTCATTCCGACTGCGGAATTTGTTAAAGTTTGTAGCCTAAACTGTTAGGCTACAAACTTTAACAAAAATCCATCATCTAACTTTCACATTTATAATATTAGTAACATACTAACTTGTTGTGGAGTACTACCGCCTGTGTTTCTTTTTAACTTCTTTGATATCCTCTTCTTATGCGGCAGACTCTTTTTACTTTGATGTTTTTGTATAGGAGAGGCGCTCGCTGCTATATCTAGTACTTGGCCATCTTGTTCCGTTAGCATAGTACTATCCTGGAAGGTAGTTTCATTATGTTACGTGATATAACATTTGCAATATGTATGTATGTATGGATGCAATAAATTTACCAATGGTGGTCCATTATACAGCCTCATAGGAGCGTCTAATATAACTGAAGCATCTACATCGTTCCTGACTGCAGATATCTGAAAGTTTCAATTACGTAAAGCAACAAAATATGATGCAATATAACATATAAAAATCTGCTATGTATGTTTAAAATGCAACAAATCTTTAAGCATAAATTAAAAGTATTTATCAAAAACTAGTTGTTCCCATGTGGCTTTATCCGCAGATACTTATAAAAACTTCGTTTTATTGTTTACATTTGTGGAATTATCAATTGCAAATGTCAAAATGACATGACATGATGACAATCCATGGCAATCTGGCTTCCTTGATGTTGGCAGCAACTTATGGTGTCTTTCCCACATTAGGATTTTTATCAAATTTATTTACCAACTAAGTTTAATGGCGTGAAAATATATAGCCTAAAGCGTGACACAAGTGTAGGGCATTTTATTAAAAAAAGAATTATCCAAAAATATGGTGTAATTGCTGACATCTTAGGCAACAAAGAAGTGTGTGTTTACGCTTTATTATAATAGTATAGAAGTATAGATAGATGAACATCTTATAGCTTTCTTTCAAATGATACTTTCAAATTCATATAAAAAATAGTATCATAACTTAAAAATATATCAAAACTGTGGCTTACAATAGTTTCCATAGGAGCCATTGATGTGTGTAAAAAGACACATAGTATAGACAATTAAGTAATCAATAAATTAAAAAGATTATTCACCATAAAGAATAAATGCAGGATAATTGTTATTGTAGTGTAATTTTTAATGGAAGATTGGCCTAATGTATGTAAAATTGTGTAAAAACATGTAGGGACTAAACTCCAGATCACCTCACCTTGTGATGAGCATGGTGGGGTGGCCGAGACAGATGAGCTACTATTGCTTCCAGTCGCCCCTCAGGGTCTAAGAGCTCTTCACTCCATTGGCCCTCATTCACTTGATCATTCACTGATACTTGTCTGGAAATTATAATACACTAGCTGTAGCATATGGATATGATTGCATAGGTTAAAAAAAATTTATTAGATAGCCTATGTTACAGACTGTCCTCAACATCTATGGCAAATTTCATCAAGATCTGTTGATCCATTTAGGAGATACGTTCTAACAACCATCTAAACTGTTATATTTATAATATGAGTAAGAAGGAAGATTTAATTTAATACATAAAATACCATTTTTAAACTAGGCATCACCTGTGGACTATGATTCCGCAGAGGATGTTTCCAAAGTACAACAAACAATTATTAGTTTTATAACATAACTTGGATTACTTTTTTGAATTCTGGTTATAATTTTTTCTATTTAATTCCCTTACTTAACATTTTAGTGTGGAAAACAGATAAGAAAATGACAATTCAAATTTCAAATCAGGGAATTTAGGTAATATAGCCAATTCCAGTTGTGGCAATACAGACAAGAATACTTTATCTTATCACAAAGTAAATATGAATTCTATCATATACAAGATATACAGACCTTATGTATGTGAGTTGAAAACAAACTTACAACTATGATATGAAAGTTAACTTCTAACAACTTTGTTTACATTTTATACATAAAAGTTATAACTTATTACCTGCACATTTGTGATGCTGAGAAGCTAAGTGGCTGCATCACTGTCACCACTCGACCACCGCCGTCGTCCTGCACGTTCAGTGCCAGAGAATTGGCATCCACATGGACACCCTTTGAATCCACAAGAAAATAATTATATACTTTACAACACTGTATTTGAATTTGGAGAAATTATCACATATCTCAGCTTTTAATAACAGTCTAATTGTTGGTTTTTAATTACATTTATTGGTGAATTTTGACAGATTTATTTCTGCAAATTTTATCTAATGCGAGTTATTGTTTTATCTCCCCTAATTAGAATGAAAGTACAAATATAAATAATACCTCTGTAGATTGGTGAGAATTGATATAATGTGTGACTGCATCATCATCCATTTTATCCTCTAGAAGATGGGAACTGACGCTCCTCATGATGAAAATATAGTATTGTATTTTTTGTTTATTCCATTCTTGTCTTCACCTTTGCTAGTTGACAGCTGTTAAGTGCAAGGTCGCTATTTATTTCATTCATTGAAATTTAACTTTAAAACGTTTGTAGGGAAATTTTTATGAAACGGTTTGATTACGTTGTAGGATTTCATCTGACATTGGTTATTTAAACAATGATTAATTACATTTTTGTAAATTTTAATGTCTTCTCCAATCGTCCATTTAACACGGCACAAATTGTTGCCATAATTTACCGTAATTCGGTTTAGTTATTTTTTTCTTCACAAAAGAAACTTATCTACATATGGAATGTCAGTTTGAATCACATTTCATCAACAGGATTTACAAAGATTTTTTCACTGTAGATATTTTTTAGTTTTGAGTCAATAACTTCATTATTTTTAACCGTAAAATAACTACGACCTTTGCTTTTAACGAGTTTTGTTTGTCAGCTTGACAGACAATGACAATATTGTCAAATGTCAATGTTATGTCATCGTCTTGCTCATTTCACATCACAATTTTATATGGATTTTCAATAAAACAATAATTTCGAGTTGTAATAATTTATTTTAATTGGCTTTGTCATGTTTCGTAAGACGTTAAAATTAAATTTACTAGCACGAGGCCATGAGGTAAGCCGCTAATTTAAGTATGTTATCTACTAACTTTTCGAAATTACATGCTGATAATTTTTTATGTTTGTTTTTGTTACCATTAAACAATGTGGAATTCTTTGATTACAATTATATCATTAACATTAACATTAACTTCAAAATGTGCATTGGACAATTGAAAAAAATCCTTCAAGAGTATCGAATTTGTTTTAATTAATTAAGTATGCATATTATGTATTAACATATTCTTAAAATTTCTTGGCAAAGAAAACTTTATTTTTCATGCATTGTTTTTATGTTTAGTATAAAGTATCAATTAATAAAACTTCAAACTTGAAGGTTTTCTACACAATTAATTTTTGATAAGAGCTGTATTGTCTTGACCTTTGACTTATTTCATTACATCAATTTGATCACTTAGAAGGAACAAAAGTGTGTCAAAATATGATATTTCTATGAAATACCTTTATAATTCAAAGGTACAAAGATGTAAACATACTAGTAAATTGGATGCTATTAGAGAAAAGTTAAGGGAAGGTCCAGGACTAGCGGATTTCATATCTGAGGATAGACCAGCTAACTGGGATGACTATGAAGGGAAGTTGAAACGAGAGAAAGGTGATGTTGAGAGATTGAGACTACCTCCCTGGTTGAAGACATCAATACCAACAGGTTAGTAATAAAACTTTGTTTAAATTTTAAAGGTTTTTATTTGATTTATTATGAGTCTGTCCCACTCATCTTTTATCTGTGGCTCATACTTTAATATTCATTCCACAGTAACTCCATTTGGATCAATTAATAGCCTAAGGACCTGTCCCACCACTGGCAGATGAAGGGTCAGGTAGCTTAAGCATGAAGCCACTGTCAGATAAGAAAATAAAATCTGATATTTCCATGACATACTTTAGATATACCATTTTTATCAGACAATTTGGTGGGACAGGCCCTTAGTGTTCTAAACAATGTTCTACACTCAGTATCCATTGCGTCTTGAATATATTTAGTAGCAAATAACAATCTGAACTTTAGGATTAACATTACTATGATGTGATTGTTATGATCATAATTTTAAGGTTCAAAATTCAGTGCATTAAAGGAGCAGCTCCGTGGGCTGAAGTTGAGCACCGTGTGCGAGGAGGCTCGGTGTCCCAACATTGGGGAGTGCTGGAGCGGAGGCAAGCATGGCACCTCAACTGCCACTATCATGGTAAGTCTAAAGTACTCTATTACTAACAGAATCATAGGTAATAATGTAGCACAACAGATTTTGATAGAATACCATTTTTTAATTACTTATGTTATATATGTAAAAAATTTTTAAAAATCAGCCCAGTAGTTTTTGAGTTATTTCAATACTCATAAAAATTCAAATCTTTCCTCTCTATAATATTAGTGTAGATGTAAATAAATGCTAGAATACTCTAAAAATTCCATTACAATTTACTAATGAGTGATGTATTTATTGAGTAGAGAGAAAAAGTACTCTTTTTCTTAATATTTTCTTGTGTTTGTAGACTTTTTTGATTACTTCTTTATCTACATTGATGCTGTGATGTGACATTTCCTTTATCGTATATTTCTAGTTAATGGGTGACACATGTACGCGTGGCTGCATGTTCTGTTCAGTGAAGACATCTAGGGCTCCGCCCCCGCTGGACCCGGAGGAGCCTCGCAACACTGCATATGCTGTAGGCCAGTGGGGTCTCGGGTACATTGTGCTGACTTCTGTTGATAGAGACGGTAAGTTTATCAATATATATTTTTATAGAAATATACTCGGGAAGAACTCATAGGCTGTTTACTACTTTTTTTAATTAAAAGCGGGCGAAGTCGCTGACAAAAGCTAGTTATTTGAAATTTTTCATTTAACAGATTCAAGATTCCGTTGTCCTTAGCTGTTTTTCCCGTATTAAAAAAATCCCTATATATTTTTTCACAGATTTACCCGACGGCGGGTCTTCGCATTTTGCAGAAACTGTCAGAGAAATAAAACGACAGTATGTATGAGTACTTAACATTTT